AAAACTCTGGGTTTGAGCTGCTCAGAAAACGGCTGTACAGAAATCTGACAAAGAACAACTTGTCAGCCAGTGTAAAAACAAAGCTTCTCTAACTTCATAATGTTCTTGTATATACCATCCACACCTAGGAAGAGGGTGGCGATTTTGAAGCAGGAGAGGGCTCGCAAAACGTACTGCTTGATTGTGCCCTATCTAAAGACTAAGCACAGTCTAGCAGAAAAAATCCCTACAAGCTCTTGTATAGCGAAATAAAAAAGAAAACTCATCATATAAAGCTATACAAGATGCGGACGAATAAGATCTCATCGACAGCTGATTCATCAATGTGGCTACGATTCTGGAAACATTATTCCACAAGATGAAGCACAATACTCTTAATTCCAAGATGGAAATATGCTTGGAGCTGTAAAGGAAACCAACATCATGGTAGGGAAATTGCGAGGACTGTGGCAATACACCGCGAAAAAATGTTATATTAAGATTACTCTGAAAGACATGATGAGGTGATGCGGTGTATCCATTTAGAATACTGCAAAAAGTATGGTCTATAGACATTCCCACGTATGCGAAACCACTGTGTTTAGGAGATGGTCGCTATTGAAAATGTGGAGATCAGTCGATACGCGAGAAAGAATGGCGCTTAAAATAAGGGCGCATAAAGATCACGCAAAAGAAATTGGTAGAGTACGTCGATGCATATATCCAATCGATAGTGCTAAGGAACACATTTGGGAAACATCTCCTTCAATCACCTACCTGAACTTGACAGGGACGAAGCAACAGAGACGCGAGGCGAGTGCAGCCAAAGTGGCAGTATACGATGTTGCGTCAGAATCAGTAATGCGGAAAAGAAGATTAATCCATGTGTAATATTGTATATTTATATATATGTATATATAGATCGACTTTATGACTTTTTTGTTATGTCGCCTGATATATTTTGTTATTTGATTGTACTAACTTAGAGGAGAAAATAAAACTTTTAAAGCAAAAATTTGGTTG